CAGCAACCCTATGTAGTCCAGGCTGGCCCCCAGCTCACAGCAACCCTTTGGCTTCAGCCTCCTGAGTGCTAGAATTAAAGGCGTGCACTGCCATGCTTAGCTTGTCTTTTTCTTTCCTCCTTTTTTTTTTAAAGATAGGGTTTCCTATGTAGTCCAAACTGGCCCCAAACTATTGTCCTCTTGTCTCACCGCCTGCGTCTGAGTTACAGGCATGTGTGACCATACTCAGCTTTTTTGTTGTTGCTTTTGAGATGAGTTCTTGCTATGTTGCCCAGGATATCCTCAAACTGCCAGAATCAAACAACCCTGCCGCCTCAACCTCTCAAGTAACTGAGACTACCAAATTATAACCAGCAAAATACATAAAATTAAATAAAGATCCTTTGCCCTTTCCAATCAAGACCAACCCACGGGAGGCTTGGAGAAATGGCTCGGGTGTTGGGAGCATTCACTGCTCTTGCAGAGGACCTAGACTTGGTTCCTAGCACTCACAAGGCTGCATTAATCTGTTACTCCCGTGCCAGGAGATCAGCGCCCTCTCCTGGCTGCCACCAGCACTGCACACATGTGATGCCCTACACAAATTCAGCTAAAATACTCATACACACAAATAAACAAGTGCCATTTTTAAAAAGGAAAGATTCGCCAAGTGGTGGTAGTGCATGCCTTTAATCAATCCCAGTGCTTGGGAGGCAGAGGCAGATGGATCTCTGAGTTTGAGGCCAGCCTGGTCTACAGAACGAGTTCCAGGACAGCCAGAGCCACACAGAGAGAAAAAAAACCCTGTCTTGAAAAGCCAAAAAAAAAGAGAGAAAAGATTTGTGTCTGGGGATATAATTCAGTGGCAGAGGCCTCCTATCATGTGGAAGGCTGTAGATCCCCCCAAGGAGAAGCATTTACTGTCAACATGTCAGAGCTTTCTTCATTTTGAAAATAGTCTTTACTATGGCATGTCTTTTATTGGTATGGTGCCAAAAAATATCAAATATAATCATCTTATTTGGGTCAATGTAAAAAAAAAAAAAACCGCTTACAAGTGTTACCAGGCACCATGCCTAGCGTAGGAGACAGACTCAACAGGCAGGCCTTGCCTTGGATACTTACAGTTCAGTAGGGTAGTTTCCAAACAGCAATTCAGCTTCAGATTTAACACAAATGTGCATTTGCTTTAGATGAGTTTTGTCGTTAACATTTAGGGGAATTTCCATGCTGATGATAGGATCTTCTGTCTGCCGAGAAACAGATGCCAAGATGGAAGTTATGTAAGGATGTTTTAAGGGGCAAGGCCTTGCAAAGGAGTGGGAAAGTCCTGCATGGTCCCGCTTGACTCTTCCAGGCGGCTAGGGACTACAGCGCTGGGAGGGTGGGCCTTCTTGCCCAAGGACCTCAGTCACTGCTGGGAAGCCTTGCTGGGAATGCGATCTTAGGTTAGGAGGCCACCAGGCTAGGCTTTAGACAGTTAAGTCACTGTGGTTGGAGGGTGGTGATTTCTCCAGAATTCAGGCTTAGCTGACAGCTCGAGGCAGGTGGATTTTCTACCACACACCTTGCCTTTTCTGGGAGCCTTTGCCGACCTATAACCGACAGTGCATGTGTGTGTGTGTGTGTGTGGTGTCTCTGTGGACAACTGTACAAAGAAGGTCCCTGGTGTTCTCTATATGTCATGCACATAGGTGTATGTGTGTGTGTGTGTGTGTGTGTGTGTGTGTGTGTGTGTGTGCGTGTGTGGTATCTCCATGGACAACTGTACAAAGAAGGTCCCTGGTGTTCCCTATGTGTCATGCACATAGGTGTGTGTGTGTGTGTGTGTGTGTGTGTGTGTGTGTGTGTGTGGTATCTCCATGGACAACTGTACAAAGAAGGTCCCTGGTGTTCCCTATGTGTCATGCACATACCTTAGGGACATTAGTCTATCTATCTGAACTTGAAATCCAGGGGCAGCTTTTTTCTGAACTCTTTGTTGGCAGGGTGCAAGAGTTTGGAACTCTGAACACAAATTGCAATGATGGGAATTTCAGTCCGTTGCTGGGGAGTGGAAAGAGCTTTGGGATTACAGGCAGGCTGCCGTACCCACCCTGCTTTCACTGAGTGCACATGGGTGCTGGACATCTGAATTCTGGTCCTCATGTTTGCCTGGCAAGCATTTTACCTGATAAGTTATCTCTCCAGCCCTGGCCACACATTGATGATGATGGTGAAACTAATAATAATTTTAATAATGATAATAAGAACACATTGGTTCCTTTAGTTTTTTTTTTGTTGTTGTTGTTTTGTTTGGTCGACTTTCTCCATGCTGTAAACATAACAGACTGTGGGCTTGTTAAAAGTGGCTCCTGAGGTTTCAGTCTGCCTAAACTAGTTTGGATTTTTTTTCCGATTCTCACCTCCAGTACAAACACCACCCGATGGGGTCCTGTGTTGTTCTCCTATGTGATCGTCTCCTGGGCAGTTCTAAAGCTGGGCAGCTGGTGCTTGACACTTTGTACTTCTTACCACAGCGGCTAACCGGAGACTTTGCCAAGAAGGGCTCGGGCTGTGGAATTCCCCACGCTGGAGATGAAGCCCAGCGTCTTTGGATGGCTAAGGGCATACTTTGCCCCACTCCCTGAATCCCACCCCAACCCACAGCCTAGTTTTTTTTTTTTTATTTCTTGAGAGATGACTTTTGACAGATAACTGTGTTACTTGTCAATGATACCAGCTGTGACAGTATGGGTTTCTAAGAACAGTTCATAGATAAGGAGTATGACTGGACAAGGTAGCAGATACCTATAATCGAGCACCAGAAAAGTTGAGGCAGGAGGATGGTGGGATCACGAGCGCAGGGTCAGCAAGGCTACTCTGGGTCATTTAACACATTCCAGTTCAGCCTGGGAAACACAGCAGTACCTTATCTCAAACAAAACAAAACAAAACACAGTAAGAATGCAAAATTATATATAAATAAATACAAGAAACAAGGATTATAATCGATCTCTTAATTTTCGAAAATTTAATTTGACTTTCTGGATGGTATTTCTAAGTATCATTGCTGCCATTCAGTTATTGCTGTTTGATTTTAAAGTTACCTTCAGCTGGTCAAAATAACTCGTGCCGATGGCATGACTCTTAGATATTTGTGCAGAGGTGGCATTCTTACCTAGCAAGAGCAATGCCAGGCTGGGGGTGTCATTCAGTGGTGAGCACTTGTCTAGCTTGTGTGAGCCTCTGAGTTGTTTCCCTGGCACCACCAACCCAATTAATAATAATAATAATAATAATCAACGATGTTAATGCCAATGGGACGCCTTTTCTGTATATGTGTATAAGAAAGAAATGACACTCTAACAGATTCTTCTTTCTCCCCTTACAATCGCAGACCCAGACATGGCCTTTGTGCCTCTAGGGATGACGGATTCCCTAGTCATCGTGGAAGAGGATGATTCTGCCATCATCCCTTGTCGCACCACAGATCCGGAGACTCAAGTAACCTTGCACAATAATGGTAGGCAGGTGCTGGCCTCTTACGACAGCAGGCAGGGTTTCAACGGGACCTTCAGTGTGGGGCCATACGTCTGCGAGGCCACCGTCAGAGGGAGGACGTTCAAGACCGGCGAATTCAACGTTTATGCTTTGAAAGGTACTTTCCCCTCTTGAAACGAGAGCAACGGGCAAACGGGGCTTTTCAGTTTGATGGGCGTCACTGGCAGTGGAGACCTGGTTCCCGTTGAGGAATTTAAGACTCCTCTGTTCACTGCACAATGTGCCTGACCTCTGTAGCTATAATAATATAGGCTTAGAAGTCACCACAGGCTGAACTTGCTTATACGTGTAAGATTGCATGCTCCATGGAAAATACCGCAAGGAATTCTTTCTTGCATAAGCCTCTTACTATTTGATTCACATTCTTGACTACAGAGCCCGAAGAAACAAACATCCACCCCAGGGGGTTGGAGGCCTAGATTAATTCCAGTAACTTAAGAATGAAGCGATTGCAGTGTTGAAGGAAGGTTGTAGTTAAAGGGGCGAACCTTCTTTCCTTTGACTTGAGGGGCGAGTCAGACTGGCGAAGTCTATTGCACGTTGGGGGCTGGAGTGGAAGATTTTAGGGAGGTCTTTACATAGACGTGGGGGCAGAAGCAAGAAAATGTCACAACCTTGTTTTGTGGTGAGCTTTGGGGAGATGCTAAGAATAACTGAGGGGCAGAATGGAGAAATGGCAGTCCAGGAGCAGAGGGCCTGAAGGGGCCTGAAGAGCGCAGCCATCCCAGATGCCCAGGCATGTGCTACTCTGGTTAAAAGAGATTATTGTTTCCTTTTTGAGGGGGGGGGTTCTTTGAGACAGGGTTTCTCTGTAGCTTTGGAGCCTGTCCTGGAACTAGCTTTTGTAAACCAGGCTGGCCTCGAACTCACAGAGATCCACTTGCCTCTGCCTCCCGAGTGCTGGGATTAAAGGCTTGCACTACCACCGCTTGGCTTTTACTCTGGTTGTTATTTTCTGTTCCTCTATTATAGCTACACCTCAAGCTAGAGATGACTAAAAGGCAAGGCTTCCTAGATTTTCCAGCTTTTGTCTTGGTCGCACTAGTTTACCCATGATGTTCCATCATTTTAAACCAACCGAACTCAGCCACAGGTCTGCTCTGAGATCCTAACTATGCCCAATTTCCTTCGTCATTTCACTATAGCAACGTCAGAACTGAATCTTGAGATGGACGCACGCCAAACCGTGTATAAGTCAGGGGAAACGATTGTGGTGACCTGTGCTGTCTTTAACAATGAGGTGGTTGACCTTCAGTGGACGTACCCTGGAGAAGTGGTAGGTACCTCCGGGTACGGAGTGCATGGGGCCCACACAGCAGGGCTTGAAATGTTTTTCATCAATGGGCACATTCCTGAGCTTCTCCAGGCTTCAGCTTCCAACTGAACAGCAAACACATTTGGACCCCAGGGCCTTTACTTTTTCTCAATCCGGGAGACTTTGGGATGACCGTAAAGGGCCCAGGGTGTTCACAACGCCCAGACTCCCCTTGAGAAGTCAGAAACAAATAGGAATGTTCTGTGACTATAACACAACAATTAAAATGCTAGAAAAGCAAGAAATGCCTGGACTTTAAATATTTGCTCATGGTGGGGATAGACATGCATCTTTATTGTCTTGACTCAGATGCCTTGGGGTTTTGAGGCATCTGATAGTGTTGCTAGGCATTTGTGTTATTATGGTCTGTGGTCATCAAGCTGTGCAGCAGCACACCAGAAGGTATTCCTTCCGTCTAACTGGACCTTTGCATAAAGTCTCACTGATTCTGATGGCTGCAGCGAGTATATAGGAGCTGTGTCTGAAGATATGGAACCGAACAGGAATGGTGTTTATTACTGTAGATGGGGGCCTCACAGGGAACAAAACATACGCATACAGTTCTATACGGGGAACAAACCCCTGTGTCAATTATATGTATCATATATGTATTTTCCTTTCCTCCCTACTCTTGAGCTGTAAATTTCTGAACCCTAGTCTTTTTGCCATTGGACAACTTTGCTTCCTGCTGGCCATTTCTGCTCCAAGCTTTGGTTGGCTCTGCTTGCCTCCTGATTGGTCTTCTCAATTGTCATTCATTACTGGTGTATGTGTGAGGCAGCATCCGTGACACCGCACGGGTTCTCTGCTTCCGCCTTTAAGTGGGTTCCGGGGCTTGGACTCAGGTTTCCAGGCTTGCATGGCGGGTGCCTTCACCCACTGAGTCATCTGGCCCAGCTGGGTTGGGTGTTCTGAAATCAGACGACACTGACTACATGCATTGAGGAACACTCACTGTCTGTTCACATACTTCTTACCCTGGAAGGTGATTGGATACTTTTTTTCATTTTAGATGCTTTTAATCCTTAAAACATAAAAATCCTTATTTTTAGGCTGGGTGGTAGTGGTGCGTACCTTTATTCCCAGCACTCACACGGCAGAGCAGGTGGAACTCTGTGAGTTCAAGGTCAAGCCTAGTCTACAGAGTGAGTTCCAGGACAGCTAAGGCTATTATTATACAGAGAAACCCTGCCTCCAAACAACAACAACAGCGAAAAACCTCTTCTTTTCATTTATAAGAGACAGAGAATTCTTCAGCAGAGACACAAGATATTTGGCCTACAAGTACATAAAATGTTGAAACACATTTTCCCACAAGTATTGAAAGTTTCTTTTTGGAATTTTGTAAAATACAGGGTGGGGACACAGGGAAACCTGCTTCTCTGAGAAGCACCATTGTCAGATTTCAGACAAATCCTTTCCAAATTTTAATTTGGATAAATATTTATCAGTATTATTCTTCCAACCTAGTCTGTTTTAACCACACCCCAAGTGGATAGTTAGACAGTTTAATCAGATCATTGACTATCCTTCTATTTATTTATTTTTCTTAAAAAGATGTTCTTCAATGTTGGTGACTGAACCCAGCGTCCCATAGGTACTGAGCACGTGACTCATGGCTAAGCTACTGCCCCAACCCATTTTTGTTTTGTTTTGTTTAGTTTTTTTCAAAACAGGGTTTCTCTGTAGCTTTGGAGCCTGTCCTGGAAACTAACTCTTATAGACCAGGCTGGCCTCAAACTCACAGAGATCCACCTGCCTCTGCCTCCCGAGTACTGGGATTAAAGGCATGCACCACCACCGCCTGGCTTCAGTCCGATTTTTTAAATTTCTGCTTGTCTTTTGGTTTTCTGGGGCTTACCCTATAGTCCAGGCTGGCCTAGAACTTGCGATGTATGTCAGGCTAGTTTCCACCTCGGGGGACTAGTGCTGCTCCGGTTTCCCACGTACTGGATTAGAGCTATGATCTACCCACCACACCTCTATTATCATTTTAGAGCAAAATTGCCAAGTACAGTAAATCCTACACAGCCCCTGCTCCCGCTACGTTTGCCCTCCCGATTGCCAAGTCTCCTAGGGCGTGCACCTTGCTCAGAACCGATGAGTCCACTTACGTCACGAGTCATATTAGGGCTCACTCTAGAAGGAGCTTTCCAAACGTTAGTTTTCTTGTGTGCCACTGCAGAGAAATAAGGGCATCACCATGCTGGAGGAGATCAAACTCCCATCCATCAAACTGGTGTACACTCTGACGGTCCCCAAGGCCACAGTGAAAGACAGCGGAGACTACGAATGTGCTGCCCGGCAGGCCACCAAGGAGGTCAAAGAAATGAAGAAAGTCACCATTTCTGTCCACGGTACCATACTATTTTCTTACATACCAATCGCTCACTGTACTTGGGATCTGTGTGCAGTGGTTCTTATGTAATGGGAACTCTTGCTTGTCCAGAGAAAGGTTTTGTGGAGATCAAGCCCACCTTCGGCCAGCTGGAAACCGTCAACTTGCATCAGGTCAGAGAATTCGTGGTGGAGGTGCAGGCCTACCCCACTCCCAGGATATCTTGGCTGAAGGACAACTCGACTCTGATTGAGAATCTCACCGAGATCACCACCGACGTGCAGAAGAGCCAGGAAACGAGGTAAAGGGAGCCTTCAAAGGTCGCTTCTGTCTTCTTAGAAAGGTTGGTGTGTGCTGGAGCACCCAGACTGAACATCAGCCTGCCAGATATAAGCTAAGACAGGCTCACAGTCCCATGTTAATCACACTTTCATTACACGTTAGTGATAGCGTTGTGGTCTGAGGAACATACATAGATAAGGTCAAATGGAAAGGAAGGACTCAAAGGCTCTGTCTTCCAGTGAAAGACAGCATACCGGATCTAGTTAAAAGGGAAGGAAAGATGGGGGAGCTGGATGTGCTTGGACTCCATAGAATCCTTGCTGGTCATCACATTCCAGCAGACATATGGACTGATTCCACTTGGGAGTAATTTACATGCAAACCTACCTGTAACAAATGGCATTATTTGGAGTACATCTGCCCCAATCCGGGATTTTATTGGAAATAAGAATGGAGTCTGGCCAGGCGGTGGTGGAACACACAGCATTCAGGAGGCAGAGGCAGGCGGATCTCTGTGAGTTCGAGACCGGCCTGGTCTACAGAGTGAGTTCCAGGACAGGCATCAAAGCTACAAAGCTACACAGAGAAACCCTGTATTAAAAAAAAAAAAGAAAAAGAAAAAAAAAGGAGTCTGAAGGAGTCTGATTAAGTTTGAGTGATGGAGTCATTTGGGTCCTGGGTGACTATGTCAGGTTCTCACATTGCTTAACTAGAGTTGCCGTCCCTTGCTCTGATGCTCCCCATCAGCCCTGGGTCTCTTTTGTCTTTTGCATGCTAGGCAAGCACTCTACCATCAGGAACCTCAATTTCTCTTCAGTTTCGAGTTATGAGGAGAATCCAGGAGCCAGAGGGCAAAGCTTTGGTTTGTTTGAGACAGGCTCTACAGCCAAAGCTGACCTCAAACTTTAAACAATTCTCCTGTCTCACATCATCACCATCATTTATGCCTCAGCAACGCTTGCACATGCGTGGGCAGCCCGTTTATGGTGGTTCTCCAGTTGTTGCTCTCCCGGGCAGTCCTCGATGCTTGTGTTATTGTCACAGCCTTTAGGGTTATAGGTGAGAACCACTGCACCATTTAAAGTAGTTATGCTTCTGGCCATTGTTGTTGTTGTTATTGTTGTTATTTTTTTAAACATTTATTTATTATGTAAACAATATTCTGTCTGCGGTGTATGCCTGCAGGTCAGAAGAGGGCACCAGACCTCATCACAGATGGTTGTGAGCCACCATGTGGTTGCTGGGAATTGAACTCAGGACCTTTGGAAGAGCAGGCAATGCTCTTAACCTCTGAGCCATCTCTCCAGCCCCATTGTTGTTATTATTAATATTGTTTACCTAGGATAGGGTCTCGCTATGTAGTAATGCCTGGCCTCAAACTCAGCTTGCGAGTGCTGGGAGACAGGGTCATCTGGCACAGCTGACATTTCACATGCGTCTGAGCAGAGCTTTGGCAAAAAGGCAGGCGGGTCAGGGGAGTGGCTTTGGAAAGCTGCTTGCTAATGTGCTTGGAGAACCCTTCAGCCCTTAGTCTTTTCCTTCCTGGGTGGGCCAGGCAGCACAAGCTGAGCGGAGTTTCTGGCTTCCTGGAGCAGAAGACCAGTGAACCCACTGGCTTTCTTGCTAACCAAGTGTAGGTATGAATGGCCTGGATCATTTCGCTGTCCACAGTTGGGTGTGTGTAGGTGGCCTCTAAAGAAATCCAATCGTGAAGCCAATCTTGTAGCGGAAGAGGGAGAAAGCTAGCACAGCCTGCTTCTCTACAGGTTCTGCACTTACCATGTAGTGTGGAGCCCATGAAGTGCTTTCCCACATTTAAAGATCATTGAATGAACTTACAGCTTGAGTGCTCCGTGTGCACAATTACAATTACACACACGTTTGTTTGTTTGTTTTGTTTTTTGTTTTTTCAAGACAGGGTTTCTCTGTAGCTTTGGAAGTGGCTCTTGTAGACCATGCTGGCCTCAAACTCACAGAGATCCTCCTGCCTTTGCCTCCTGAGAGCTGGGATTAAAGGTACATGCCATCACCGCCTGGCTAATTATATTTTATACGTAGGAAAGGAAGGCAGAGAAAGTCCAGTAATTTCCAGCTGTTTTTCTGTGTTTCATAATGACAGACAAATGTGAAAATACTGTATACACACACACACACACACACACACACACGCACACACACGAATTCAAATGCAGGCAAACATACCTTTAAGTCAGAGGACAATTTCGGGGAGTCCGGTGTTGCCTTGTACCTTGTTAAAGCAGGGTCTCTCTTGTTGCGGTCTCTGTGCTGAACATTCCAGGCTAGCTATCCCGAGAGCTCTGGGGCAATTCTCCTGTCTCCTCCCATCTCACACGGGAGTGCAGAGGTTGTAGAAGGGCATCTCTGCACCTGATCTTTTGACATGGATTCTGGGGATCGAATTCATGCCATCAGGCTGGAGCAACAGGCGGTTTTACCAACAGAGCCATCTTAAGTGTTTTCATTTAAAAAGGCCTTGTTTATTTTCATTTAGAAATGAGGTCTTGCCAGAATTGGTAGCTCCTGGAGATGGCTTATCTCAAAATACTTGATTTTTTTTTTTTGGTTATGGATGAGGCTTTTGGTGTGTGGAAGATAGATCAAGAATTCTAGAAAAGACACTGACATTAACATGAAAAAGAGACTTTTTCCCCAGAAATAAAATTTCTAAGACTGCAATTGCTTGAACAATTGGTGTTGATTTGACTACTGCTTATTAAAATGAAGTTCTTTTTTCTTAAGATATCAAAGCAAACTAAAGTTGATCCGGGCTAAGGAAGAAGACAGTGGCCATTATACCATCATAGTTCAAAATGACGATGACGTGAAGAGTTACACGTTTGAGCTGTCAACTCTGGGTATGTAGAAGTCATGTAAAGGTCATGCTTTCTCAGGGGCTGACTCTCCACCAAAGACATCTTGACTCCTCTCTTCACAGCCTTAGAGAAAAGCAAGACCTGGGGGTGGCAGTGGGAACGGAACATGGCACACGTCAGGGAGCATGTGGTTGTGCTTGCCAATGCAGGCCTGGTTTGAGCATTTCTAACCCAAGAGTCTGAAATGCTCCAAAATCTGAGACGTTATCTTTTTATCATGGAAGGAGGCAAGATAGGATCTAAGTATGTAGCCCAGGTTAGCCCTGAAATAGTACTAGTCCTGCCGCAGCCTCCCCAGTGCTAAGATTCCAGGCATTTGCCTCCACATGGGGCTTAAAATTTGAAACTTTCTGAGTGTTCACCTGACGTCACAAGTGGGAAATCCTAACCTGACATCTTGTGACAGGTCGGAAAATATTCAGGCTTATAAAAATATTGTCAATAAAAAAATTAAAATTACCACCTGGCTATGTGTGTAAGGGGTGTATGGAGGTATAAATGAATTATATACTTAAACTAAAGACTTCCCTAAGACATCTCATTAGGACCCAACTTCTGAAAATGTCTGAAATCTAAAACAGTTTTGGAGAAAAAAATTGTCCTGAGGAAAAATTTTAAATTAAAGTATGTATTATTTAGTTTAAGTTTTTGTTTAGTTTAATTTTTAATATTTATTTTAAAATATTTATTTAGTTTAAATTATTCACTTTAAATCCAAGTATGTAAAAGTAAATTAAAGACGTATATTTTCCAGCTTATTATTATTACTTGGTGATGGAACCCCATGTTTTAAAAAACAAGTCAAGGTGCTGGGGAGAGACAGCTCATAGGCTCAGAGCTCTTGCTGCTCTTGCAGAGGACCGAGGCTGGGGCCCAGCACCCACATGGGGGCTCACAACCACCTCTAAGTCCAGTTCCAGGTGGTCCAATATCCTCCCTGGCCTCCATAGGCCCTAGACATGCATGTAGTGTACATACAAACACTCTGGCAAAACATTTGCCTGTCTCTAACTTATTTGACGACAAGTTGGCCAAAGGATCTTTAAAATCTAGTGATGTTCCACGGGTGCATTTGGGTGAAGGCTGCTTGACTCGATGCTTTCGTCAAATTCATTGGTTGAATCCTCAGTGCATAAATAGCTGGAGGGTCCTCCTTGCCTTCCCAGCTGAGGCACTTCTTTCTCCCCTCAGTCCAGCCCTAAAACGATCCAGGCACAAAGCCCACAGATGCTCACACTGGAGTAGCTATTACCTGAGCAGGTCTGTGCGAGCTGGACCGTTTCTTTCTGTCTTCCCTGACGGGTGCCTTAAGGATCATTTCTGAACTCGTGGGAACACCTCTTGGCGGGATGCCCCTCCATGGCCAGGGGCAAGAATGGCGCAGCTCTGACGTCTCCCTTCCTCTTGCAGTTCCTGCATCCATCCTGGAGCTTGTGGATGACCACCATGGCTCTGGTGGGGGACAGACTGTGAGGTGCACAGCGGAAGGGACACCTCTCCCGGACATCGAGTGGATGATCTGCAAGGATATTAAGAAGTATGGAAACCAGAACTCCCTATTCGTGTGTGCTCAGAATGTTTCTTTCAGAACATGAGGGACCTCAAGTGCATTTTAGTTCTTTGGTTGACCCCTTTTGTATTTGTGAGTCCTTCTTGGCCCATGGCTTATATTACTTACAAAATATACAACAGGGTTCTGAAAGTAGATTCCATCTGTGTGTGTGCACGCATGCACGCCTGTGCATGCACACACACGCACACACACATGCATGTGTGTCCTCAAAGGGCTTTTATTTTTCCCTTTTAATCCCCTTTGTTTTCTATTTTTAAAAATAGTTTATTTATTCTTATTTTATGTGCATTGGTATTTTGCCTGCATCTATATCTGTGTGAGGGTGTCAGATCTTTGCGTTACAGGCAGTTGTGAGCTGCCATGTGGGTGCTGGGAATTGAACCCAGGTCCTCTGGAAGAATAGCCAGTGCTCCTAACCACCGAACCATCTCTCCAGACCCCTATTTCTCTTTTAGAACTGTCTTGAATGTAATGGCAAGAAGAATTTTAAGAACTACTGTTATTCAGGGATTTTAATTGCACCAGCCTATATTTTTAGCTCGGTCTGATTAATGAGACAAGGTCTCACGATGCAGCCCAATTTAACCTTGAACTGAACACCTTCTTGCTTTTCCCTCCCAATGTTTGGGGTCACAGGTGTGCACTACCACCCACGGTCAGCTCGCATTTCTGATTTGATCAACTTGGTTTTAGTGGCTAGACTAGCCTAGGAACAGAAGTGTGAGCAGTGCCCGTATGAATACCCACGGCCACTTAATCTTTGGAGGCCAGAAGAGGGCATTAGGTCCCCGGAAGCAGGTGGTTGTGACTTCCCAACATGGGTGCTAGGAACAGACTGTGGGTTTTCTACTAGAGTAGTATGAGCTCTTCAGTGCCAAGCTGTCTATCCAGTCCTCCTCTACCTTCTTATGTGGGCCCACGAACTGTGTGTTCACACTTAACCCCTTGGCAACTAGCTGTGTTCAGAGTGCTTTTGTTCACTTTTGCTGAAGGCTGAGCCTTCTGCTCCCACCTTACCCAGGGCTGTGGGGCCATCTGGGTGCTGGGAACAAACAAAGCTGCTATGGACATAGTTGAGCACATGTCCTTGTGGTATGATTGAGCATCCTTTGGGTATATACCCAAAAGTGATATTGCTGGGTCTTGAGGAAGGTTGTTTCCTAATTTTCTGAGAAATCGCCACACTGATATCCAAAGGGGTTGTACCAGCTTGCACTGGTACACACCAGCAATGCAGGCGTGTTTGGGAGGGTGTTTTTGAATGAGCTGGGAATGGGATTATTAAATGTTTTTGATGTTATCTTTAGAGGTGGCTCACAGGTTCACGATTTCGGATTGTTAGTTGTATTTTGTTAAATTTACCTGCCTCTTCACAAATTTCCTTATTTGTGTGAGACTGCTCGTCTTGAGCAGGTGCAAATGAACTTTAAAGAAAACAAACCTGTGGGCCACCCCCGAATGGGCCGATCAGAAACGCGAAAGAGTCCCTGGTCTTTGTGACCCATGGTAATCAGATCTCCACTTGTGCCACGCTCTCTCTAGATGCAATAATGATACTTCCTGGACAAGTTTGGCCAGCAATGTCTCAAGCGTCATCACAGAGTTCCACCGCCGCGGCAGGAGTACTGTGGAGGGGCGAGTGTCCTTCGCCAAAGTGGAGGAGACCATCGCAGTTCGGTGCCTGGCAAAGAATGACCTTGGCACTGGGAACCGAGAGCTGAAACTGGTAGCTCCCAGTGAGTGTCTCAGTAGGCAGGACAACTCCAGGTCACCAGCCAAGCCCCGTCTTTCTCAGGTGGGATGTGGAATCCCAGACAGGGGTTGCATAGTAATGAAAGTCCCAAGACAGACATTCGCCCTGTCTGCACTGAGGCCCTGGCTGGCTGGCAGGCCCTTCCATTTGCGTCCAGCTGCATTTGCAGCGGCTGTGGACATTTTTGTTTGTCAAATACAGCATACCTACTAAGCCTCTCTATTGGTGTCGGGATGCAGAACGAGGAAGAAGAATTTGTTGTCTCTTAGAGCAGCTGAGTTGGGTTGGAGTCTTCCAAAGAAACGAATGAAGGAATGGAGCCGAAAGACAGGAACAAAAGGCCCAATGCCGTGGTTAAATCCACTTTACCATGGAGCTTAAGAGGTGGCTGTTTCTGCCAAGGAAGTCGCTCCCAATTCACCCAGTCTTCGTTGTCTCTGTTCCAATTGTCCAAAAGGGGCTCCTTGGAGGATCTTTGGAAAAAATGCTTTGTCCCAGGGAAGAATCCCATTTCATTCAGGAGTACACGTGTTTGAGAGATAGTATTGGCCGTCTCTAAAGGGAGCCATGGAGCCTGGGCTCTTCCCTGCCAGCAGTAAGACAGTCCCAGTCAGGCTCAACCTCTTCCTCTCCACTCTCTGCCCCTGAGTAACTGAGGAAATTCTCCACCGTGTCTCTCTCTTGCCCCCCAGCCCTGCGTTCTGAGCTCACGGTGGCGGCTGCGGTGCTGGTGCTGTTGGTGATTGTGATCGTTTCCCTCATTGTCCTGGTTGTCATCTGGAAGCAGGTGAGTCTTCGGAGCCATTAGAACAGGAACAGCTGCCTCTTTCAGTGTTTGGTTCAGAGAAGGCGCTTTTGGTAATTACATGTGTGGTGGGCCGTGTTAGATACATGTGTGATGGGTGACTGTGTTAGATACATGTATGGTGGACTATGTTAGATACATAGGTGGTGGACAATTGTTAGAAACATGTATGGTGAACGACTGTGTTAGATACATGTGTGGGGGACACTAGTAGATACATGTGTGATGGACAACCATGTTACATGCATGTGTGGTGAACTATGTTAGATGCATGTACAGTGAGCAATGTTAGATACCTGTGTGGTGGTGGTGGTGGTAGGCACATGTGTGGGGAGCCATGCTAGACCTTCCTGGGTCCAGTCCCTTTGGTTCTGCAGTGAAGCTTGGTGCCTCCAGACCGATAACTCACCAGTTACCTGCCCTGGTCATTACAGAAGCCACGCTATGAGATTCGCTGGAGAGTCATTGAGTCTATCAGCCCCGACGGACATGAGTATATTTACGTGGATCCGATGCAGCTGCCTTACGACTCCAGATGGGAATTCCCAAGGGATGGGCTAGTGCTTGGTAAGTTCCTGTGAGGGCCACCTCCGGGGACCCCAGTGTCACCTGCCCAGCTTTGCTGGTTACAGGCCTGGGGAGATTAGGCACTTGAATCCTGCCTGGTAGGAAATTTGCTCACAGGCCTGGGTGTGGTGGCTCACTCTCTTCACCTCAGCTTTGGGGAAGCTGAAGAAGGAGGACTGTGAGTTTCAGGCTAGCCTGGGCTACATAGCTATCTTGAGCATGAGCTCATTAGGCCTGAGAAGGGGAAGTCAAGGCCAGAAGCCTCTAGTCTATGTGAGGCCTTGAATTCTATCTCCAGAACTGAAAAAGGGTGGAATTAACTGGGCACGGTAGTGTACACCCATTGTTAAGTAGCTGGGTAGTACATACCTAGAGGGAGCTGGAGGCAGAAAACCCACGAGTTCAGTGTCATCTGAGCTACATAGTGGGTCTGAGGTCAGCCTGGGCTACATGAGACCCACTATCAAAATATCAAAAGGAATGAAACTCTTAATTGTGTCATTGGAATGATTTTGCCTTGGCAAAGATACCATGATGAAAAATGAATTTCTGTGACTAAAAAGGACTAGCTGAGAAGCGAGGTGACTCAGTGTGCTGAACTCCATTCCAAGGAATCATAAAATTTTTCTTCATATTGATGCAATGTAGGAAGTAAAAGCACCTGCTGCTGTCGTGGTTCATGACTGTAATCCCAGCGAGGCAGGAAGATTGGGAGTTCAAGGTCATCCTTAGCTATGTAGTGAGTTTGAGCTACATGAGATCCTGTCTTAAAAACCTGTATTAACTCCCTCCTCTCTCTCTCTCTCTCTCTCTCTCTCTCTCTCTCTCTCTCCACACACACACACACACACACACACACACACACTTTAAAGCAAACATAAAAATCAAGATGGCTCGTCACACATTTCAAAGATTTCAGTCCTGGGTTGGAACCAAAAAATGAAGTCCCAAATAGTTTTTTAATCACATTCTAGATGAAAAAAAACCAGACCAAGGCAAAAGGAAGTTAGACCTACAGGTTATGTCATAATCAAGGGGCTCACCCAATTCAAATGCAGCTTTTTATTATTATGTCTCATTCCAAACTATGGCAGAGCTCAGATCTTACAGTCACTCACACGGTCAGCAGCGAGGCTGCCTCACCTACACCTATGCTTCATTATATTCTCCCAGACAGGGATGCGGAGCTTGGAGGCATTAAGAGGTAATAGCATTATGGGGTGGGGACAGACAAAACCTCTGCTGCCCATCTTTGTCCTTTTCCTCTTGGGCAAGTCCAACTCATTGGAGGAAGGGCACCTTTCCAGGCATGCATGCCAGAGACACAGACCAGAAGAGAGGGCAGAACCACTCTTGATGTCTTTTTTTCCTGGGCTGTCCTGGTCAGATGGTTTCCTGAAAATGCCTACCCCACCCCGGCCACCCGCCAGACCATGGCCTCTTTAAGGGTGGAGACAACAGCTTTGATTTTTTATTTTTTTGACCACACGAGGAAGGACTGTGCTGGCACACACGGCCACTGATCCAGGGACCTTCCTTCATGACAAAGGGGACAAGCCCGAGTTTTCCCTTGTGCATTCCTCAGAATCAGTGGCATTTGGAATACTGAAGATTTCCAGTAGTTAAGGATTTGTTAATGCAAAGGTCACCTCTGTCTGCACATGCGAAACAGAAGGATAGAGGACCAGGGGGGTTTGGGTGGAGGCTGTGAAGGCAAATGCACTGGAGCCCAGGGCCTGGCGGGAGCGCATGTTCACACCAGGGACGGCTGAGCTCTCCTCTCTCTTGTCTGTGTTTTCCTTCCCATTGCAAATGTTATTTGACAAAAACAATTACACTAATTTCCTTTCCTGTGGGCTCAATTCTTTTTCTGGACATGATGACTTGGAGGAATAATTAGGCTTTACTCAGTACAGGGAAAACACCCACCCAGCTGTACACCCCTGTGCGCTGGTCTCTGCCAGTAAAGCGGAGGAGCCTGGAGCTGGCGTTTGATGGCTCTGTTTGCCCACAGGTCGGATCTTGGGATCTGGTGCATTTGGGAAAGTGGTTGAAGGCACAGCCTATGGATTAAGCCGGTCCCAGCCTGTTATGAAGGTTGCTGTCAAGATGCTTAAACGTAAGTGTGTCTTCCCAGGGATGCCTTGAACATGCAAATATTAAGTGACTTGATAGTAAACTTAATACTATATTGTGATTCTTCAGATTCAAAGTTTTATGTGGATTTAGGTTTTTGTTTTCTCTCTTTGTTAAGAATAAGACATTCTGATTTCTAGTGACTTTTTTTTTTTTAAAAATCTTAAAGTCTAGGGACTACGATCCTGGCTCAATGGGTAAAGTGCTTTCTATGCAAACACGAGGACCTGGATTCTGGTCCCTCAGCATCTGTATAGGAAGCCAGAAGTGTAGAGTGCCTGCATAAGCCGGCACTGCGGTGAGGCAGGAGGAGATAGGGGATCCTGAAAACTCACAGGCCAGCTAGGTTAGCCAGCCTGGCAAGCGTTCAGTTCAGTGAGAGGCCCTGTCTCAAAATATAAGATGAGGAAATAGTTGAAGAAGATATCCTGATGTCAACCTCTGGCCTCCATGTGTATTTGTATAGACAAGAGTACACACACATGCATAGACACACATATGCATAGACACACATATGCATGCACACACACACACACATTAGAGTCTAGACTAAGGAAACCTAATACTCTTCTTTTAGACTCTTGGTAAATAAATATTATTGAATCACAGTTTTATATGTGTTTGTCTGAGAACCAGGAGTTCAGCTGAAGTGAAATCTCATTTACTTCAACAGCCACAGCGAGATCCAGTGAAAAGCAAGCTCTCATGTCTGAGCTGAAGATAATGACCCACTTGGGACCGCATTTGAACATTGTGAACTTGCTGGGAGCCTGCACCAAGTCAGGTAGGCCCCCTGACCTGGAGAGAGGGTGTGCTGGGAACACTGATGGTTGTGGAACTTTGAACCACGCTCGGACACACATTCCTCTCTTTGCACCCCAAACATGCCTCGTGAGTATATAAAGCTCATAAGTGGAGCCCACTGATTGCCTTGACTTCTGGAAAGTTCCTTGGTTCTGAGCATTACGGCTTCTTTTCGTTGCCCATCTTTATACCTGACTGCGTTTGGTCCCCACAGGCCCCATTTACATCATCACCGAGTACTGCTTCTATGGGGATTTGGTCAACTATTTGCATAAGAACAGAGATAGCTTCATGAGCCGTCACCCAGAGAAGCCAAAGAAAGAGCTGGACATCTTTGGACTGAATCCCGCCGACGACAGTACAAGGAGGTAACTACAAAGGGAGCCTACTGTGTCCTCGTCACAGCACTGTGAATGGCAAAAAGCCTGTCTCCACAGAATCCAGGCCTGCAGATTCTAGGCCAGCCCCAGAGGCCAGGAGGCTTGGAGCCTGCCTAGCCGTCCATGTCGGTGTGGGTGGATGTGCAGTTGCAGGTGTTTGGGACTAGGTCATTCCACGGGAAGGCTGTACTGATAGGTGTGAGTGGCGGCGGGGGCTGGGATTCCTCGGGATACATCAATGAAGCTCTGGCCAGGGATGTCTAGATTTGTGCCTCGCGAGGAGCTGTTGGAGGATCTCCAGGCTCAAGTGGTTGCTCCTTGCTGGACCTAGGCCAGCGATGCTCACTTGTCTCTACTGTTAAAGCTTCCAAGTGGCTGGAAAGACGACGTGTGTGAGGTTCTGTGAGATCAGAAAGTCCAAGGACCTCTCTTGTTATTAAATTACTTAATGGGCTTCAAATGGATGCCCAGTCTGTGGAGTCCCAGGGCCTGTCTGTCCGAGCCACATGGCTGCATGACAACAGAGGACGATGGTGAACTGCCCTTATGGCATGGACTTTTCAACTCTCCAGACCCAGAGCCTTTTGTGTTTATGGGAGCGTAGCCCTCGACTTCCCTGTAGCTCTTGGGGATGTCTCTGCTACTTCTGAGGACATGTGGAGGAGTGGTACTGAGGGCAGAGAAGCAAACCAGGAAGGAGAATCATAGCAGCTACCATTTGTGGAGCCGGGCTGACCCTGTAGTGTTTCCCTTCCATGTAGACGATATTGATTTTACAGACTAGTTAGAAAAATGCTGGTCTCCTCCCGGATGGGCATATTCCTTCCACGTCATCAAAATCAGCCTTTCTTCCCAGCATGCCTGGGTTTGAGAAGACGCATATGTTGTGACTGATTAATGTCATCTGTCTGCCTGGGCCACCCCATGTACAGTACGCACATGGATGGGGACTGTTTATGCTCATCCCTGAGACCTTGACACCTCCCATTAATGACACACTGTAGGCACCCAAATTAGCATGTTGTCTACTGAGTGACCAAATTAAAGGCCACATGTGATGAAATGTCTTGGTCTTTTTTTTTTCTTCCCTTTTTTGTAGTTATGTGATTTTATCTTTTGAAAACAATGGTGACTATATGGACATGAAACAAGCCGACACCACACAGTATGTCCCCATGCTCGAAAGGAAAGAAGTCTCTAAATACTCTGACATCCAGAGATCGCTGTATGACCGGCCAGCCTCCTATAAGAAGAAGTCTATGCTAGGTAAAAATGCATGCACTCATTCTAGCAAATGCGATCTTTCTGTGGTTTGATGGGATGCTCAGAGGAAGGGAAACTGGGCTGAGGGGTAGGTACATCTGCCAGACTGTGTGATCCCTAAGTACAGGCCTGCTCAGCGGGGCCTAGATGTCTTTTGTAGATTTGTGGTCTGTGAGTGAGAAGAATAAAGACAGGGGTTGGTGATGTAGCTTAATGGTAGATGGCTTGCCTGGTGTGTACACAGTTCATTCTCCGGCATGAAAAAAAAAGACTATATAATATTGTAAAAGTAAAATAAAGAAGACAGATATAATGTAATCCATTTCTCAAACTTTAAATGTAGTTGCTTTAAATAAATAATTCATTCTGCTATAATGGTCTTTTCTTGTTAACATGTCTTTTGTTAAAAAAAAAATGAACGTGGTGAGAATTGGTGTTGTTTTCCCCGTGGCCAAACTGAAAGCTGGCCATCTTACAATGTTTCCTCATGGTTTTCTCTGGGTGCATGATAATCCTTGCTTTTTCTTTCCTAACATGCAATCGGTGATCGTAACTCCAAAGCAGCCAGTTTGAGGGTACACTTTCTGGCGAGCGTTTCTGTTGGCTTTTGTTTGGAAGCAGGCCCTTCTGCTTTGAAAACAGAAGCGTATGTGGTGGGGATGAATTCATTTGTCAACTCCAGGGTGCCGCGTGGTGATGCCACGCCAGATGGACCACCTCACGCCTGCTCTGGGGTGGCCACTCCAGGCCTCTGGCTTAATCACACACTTGAAGTGGGCAGGGTCCTGATGAGCCTGACCTTTTCTTGCGATCCTGCTTTTGGGGGTTTGAGCCCTTCATCAGCTGTTGCCAAACTGTTCAGCTGCCATGGAGATTGGTTTGGAGAGGAAAACAAAAACCAAAACAAAACAAAAACCTCTAATGTGCTCCGAATACCTTCAGGGTTCTTAAGCAAAAGGCATAATCCATTTAAAAAAAATCTGCTTGCTTTGTAAAAGCCATTGTGCAATAATATTTTCCATATCTGCAGCTCTGTTCCCTTCGCCTTGCCAAATGGGTGAACTTCCAAACGCTTCTTAAAGTTTACCCGATGAGACGTACTGGAAGCAGTGCTTCCTTTCCCTCCCATATGGTTAAAAATAGTTTACATCGCTTCCCGGGCAGAGCTGGTGGGCCTGAGTCATGCTCGGCCTGGGTCCTGCTGGCAGGCAGACCACAGTTTTCTGGCCTTCCAATAGCTGGGAAAAATATGAATGGCTGGAGCCGTTCGTCAGAGACCTGAAAATCGTCAGGGCCTGAGCGTTGCTGGCCCAGACTGCCCTTCCTCGAATGCTCTTGGGGTCCTTCCAGATGGGATGAATGGGGGAAAAGTGTCCACGCCTGGTCATGGGCACCTTCCTTTAGGATGGCTGCCTGGTCTGTTTGGTTCGTTGATTCAACTGGCAAACTATACATAAAACAAAAAGGAAACAAAGCAAACCTCAAATTTGCCACAGATGATTTCATTGTGTGTGTGTGTGTGTGTGTGTGTGTGTGTGTGTGTGTGTGAGTTTCCAAGATGGCTGAGGGGATTGTGACCAGGTGGAAAGCGAAACTCAAGGGCAAACAAAAATACAGATGTGAGAATCCGTGGAGGAGTTTGGTTTGATTAATCATTATGCATACAACCATCCACCCCTCCCCCAGGTATGTGTTTGTGAATGCAGGCTGGGTGTCTCTTATCTGAAATGCTTGGAACTGAATGTGTTTTGAATTTTTTTTTTCGGATTTTGGAATATTTGCATATACATAATGAGATATCTTGGGGGTGGGAGCCAAATCTAAATAGAAATTCGTATCTGTTTCCTGCACACCTCAGACACATACTGACAGTAATTTTATACAATATTTTTTTTAGTGCGCGTGTGTTTTGACTGTGATCTGTCACATGAAGTCTGGCATGGGAATTTCTACTTCTGCCGTCACTTGGTGCTAAAGAAGTTTTGGGTGTTTGGAGCATTTTAGAGTCAGGATTTTGGGTCAGGCATTCTCAACCTGTGTATATTTCTTCGGGAAGGAAGATCTATTATTTCTCCTTTCTATTTTTATGGTGCTAGAGGTTGCGATGCATGCTTTATGCATGCTGGGCACAGTCTCTACCATGAGCCACACCCCCAGCCTCCTTTGCATAGTTTCTGTAGCCTGTGAAGTCTAGAATCTATGAGAAAATGCTTTTATCTTTGGACACACTTCTGCAGTCTGTCAGACCAGGGTTACTAGGTTACTGGGGGAGCCCCATGCTCTTAGTCAACACCAATACATTTGACTCCTTTTCCACAGACTCAGAAGTCAAAAACCTCCTTTCAGATGATGACTCCGAGGGTCTGACTTTGCTGGATTTACTGAGCTTCACCTATCAAGTTGCCCGAGGAATGGAATTTTTGGCTTCCAAAAATGTAAGTTCAAGGCACAGAGACCTCTTCAGACCCAGCCATAGATTCAGAGGGAGGGGACATGCCAGGAAGAAGGTCTTAGAGTAGCAGTAACAATGGTTTCTCAGTTCACCTACCTCTCTGTTGCCTCCCTGAACTGGCTGGGAGTCTGACCTCATTGGGTGTCTGCCTTTCCCCTGGACTCTTTGTCCCTCAGGAGGAGTCAGGATGGCGAGGGAGGGCAAGTTCTTTCTGCCAAGGCACCCTTCAGGTGCCGACACGGCGTGACCAGTCTCGCAGGAGTGCTACTATCTGGCCTCAGCTGGAGCCATTCTGAAGTGGTTTCTTTCTTTCCCGTGTAGTGCGTCCACCGGGACCTGGCTGCCCGCAATGTCCTTCTGGCACAAGGGAAAATTGTGAAGATCTGCGACTTCGGCCTGGCCAGAGACATCATGCATGATTCCAACTACGTGTCAAAAGGCAGCGTACGTCCCCGCCACCATCACAGCTTATCCCCCCGCCCCTTCACTCTCGGAATTGTGTTGCTTCTTAATTCAGGAGTCACGTTTCTAAAATAGGTTCTCACGGTTCATTAGTTGGCCCCAGAGGACTCAGTGGGGAAAGCTTAGGCTTAACAGACAACCTGGTATCAGCTTCCCTTGATAGCAGAGCTGGTGTTTGGGCAAGTGTGTTGTCTACCTCATGCCGTAGTTTCTCTGAGGATCACCTATTTCCTAAATGGCTACCAGGGAATAATTTAGGTAAATTCATATAAAGTTCTACAGACAGAGCTTGACATATAGAAGCACCCTGCAGGAGCTGGAGAGATGGCTCATTGGTTAAGAAGAGCCCTGGGTTCTTCCAGAAGGATCTGGGTTCAATTCCCAGCCCTCACATGACAGCTCACAACTGCCTGTAACTGGAGGTTTGGGGATCTGATCCCCCCCCCCCACTTTTTTGGCTTCCATGTGCTCTAGGCATGCAAGTGGCGTGCAGACATTGAAGGCAAAACACCCATACATGTAAAACTAAAAACAAACAATTAGACACACCCTGTACATGTTAACTCCCAATAAGTCAAGTATGTTCATGAATACACAAGCGTGCATTTACAGGGAGACCTCCAGTGTCTGAGTTCTTATCAGCTTCCCAACTGGCAGATTTAAGCTTTAGAGCATTCAGACCGCTGAGTTAATAGAATGGTTTAGTTTCTTTAAGGACAGTTTCATTATCCCCATTCCTTCGACCTGTCAGCTTAGGACAGACACATCTGCCACCTGGAGGTATGATTGCGTGTCACTCTGTCCCACTAGTGTAAGACAGCTCACAGGGCCACAGCACCTGCGTCGGCAGGACAGTGGCCGCTGTTCATGTCTTGGACTCATGACTTATTCCCGTGGCTCTTCCCAGGCACCTTGAACAAGTTACTAAACTTGAGTGAAAATGATTTCTCACCTAAGGCTATGAATGTCTGCTGCTGTGTTCTTAGTAATCTGGGGGAAGGGGGAGGCTGAGGGCTGCTAGCCTGAGGGCTGCTCGCCTGAAGGATGCTGCGGTCTGTAGCTCTCTAGATTTAATATTTCATCTGAAGTTTGGACCAGCTTTGCAAAAGAGACACATCTCAGTGTCTTGTCTTTTGGTGGTAGAAAAGAACCACTTATTTCTTACAGTTTGGAAGCTGTTAGTGGTTTACAGGTTGCTGTATCTGTTTTGAGTTTTGTTCCTAGGGTTATCTGAAAACAGGGTGACCAGTGTGGTAAAAGGTTATACCTCATTGGTAGATTGAAAGTCAAGTGTTTTTAGTATATTATTCCTTATGAAGAGATGAGAAGGGGCCTGAACCATTCCTTATTTGTTATTTATTAAGAATCTATACGGTGGATAGGGAGATGACTCAGAGAAGTTCTTCCTGTGGAAGCATGGGTATCTGAGTTCGACCTCCAGAACTCATGTAAAAAAAAAACAGACATAATGGTTGCTGTGTGGAATCCCAGTGCTGGGGAGGCAGACAGAGGTCCCTGGAATCCCAGGCCAGTGAGAGATCTTTCTCAGAGAGGGGCAAAAAAGATAAAAACATAGGTGGATTGTTTCCTGAGAACAGCAGTGGAGGTCTTTGACCGCCACATGCATACTCATGCATGTGCGCACGCACAAACACACACACACATGTATGCACACATGCACACATACATGCAACAAGCACCTGCATACACGTGAACATATATACACATACACGCACAGCATACCTAGTTTCAGTGAACAGTAAACACATGGGAGACATGACGTAGGCAAGATCTTTAATGCATTCTTCAAGATCTTTAATGAGTTCTTCACAGCCCAGGGAGGACCCCTTTCCATTTGTACTTCTGCAGACATCAGAGTGTAGTCTGCGGGTTAATTTCCTCTCTCCTTCTCCACAGACTTTCCTGCCTGTGAAGTGGATGGCTCCTGAGAGCATCTTCGACAACCTCTACACCACGCTGAGTGACGTCTGGTCTTACGGCATTCTGCTCTGGGAAATCTTCTCCCTTGGTATGGACTTGACCGCTCTGTTACTTTGGCTTATTCTGAAGGGTCATGAGTCCGTCCCAGGTCCAGGATGACATGTGCATTGCCAGCCAATCACGTTGCAGCTGCTTCACTCCACAAGTCTGCCCTTACCATGTCTGGTGGAGGCTGAGCAGAGTCAGAGGAATCTTTGGGGGATGTTTCCTCCCCCTGGCCACTGCCCTTTTCTCTCCTGGGTTGTGTCAGAGTGATTTGCCCCATGGGAAGGGCTTCCAGTGACATCTGTCTTTTCATTTGGGACTCTGGGCTTAGATAGATCACTGGTAGTCTCCTTTACTTGATGATAAATGAGCCCCGGTGAAAGGTGAGGTGGTAAGGAAGAGGGTGAAGCCCCCATCTTGAGGAGATGAACCTCCTTAACGTTTGATCACCTGTCACCAGGGCCTGGGCAAAGCCGGTGCCGGCTGCCAGGGGAGGGTTGTAATTGAGTGAGGAAGGATGACTGTGACCTTTGGATTACACAGTTGGAGGTAAACCCTGTAAGCTCTAACATGGGTTCAGAGGAAGAGGAAAGGAGTCTCAGAGCAGAAGCTTCCGAGAGGAAGTCAGACCGAGCCCGGCCTTGCCTGTGTGCTCAGTGTCATTCCTCCCCATGCCGCCTTTCCCGAAGCCTTGCACTCTCTTAAAACCATGGATTATTAAAACAATTCAGGTGGCAGCTTTGAAAACAAATAAACAACGAAAAGAAATGACATTCTTATCTTTTGTGGCTTAGAATACCTCCTCATCTTTTGAGTGTGCATGTAGATCTAGTAGTTAGAAACACTATTAAATTTGTTAGTGATTTTTTTTTCTAAAGTTGTATATGTTTTGCCCAAGATGCTTGAACCTGATCAACCAAGACTCCTATATTAAGTTTGAGCAGCCTTCATAGTCAAGGAGGTGTAACCCTACAAGGTCTTTGAAAGGATCAGGACACCAGGGCTTCAGGATGAAAGGTGTGTGGTACCTTTACCGGTAGAAGCCGGTCTTCATTCAGGTTTTTTTTTTTTTTTTTTTTTTTTTTTTGACTCTTAGGTGGCACACCCTACCCTGGCATGATGGTTGATTCTACTTTCTACAATAAGATCAAGAGTGGATACCGGATGGCCAAACCTGACCATGCCACCAGCGAAGTGTAAGCTCCCTCCCCACCCATGGGCCAGCACCCGTGCTCCAGGGTCCATGGGGCAGCGGATATCTTCTCGTTTTCCCGCACTCACTCTGAGCTCTGCCTTTGCAGCTACGAGATTATGGTGCAGTGCTGGAGCAGTGAGCCCGAGAAGAGACCCTCCTTCTACCACCTGAGCGAGATCGTAGAGAATCTGCTGCCTGGACAATATAAAAAGGTCAGTCTGAGCCTGTGTGCGGCGGGAGGCTGGCGGACGAGGAGGAGAGAAAGAGCGGGCAGTTATGCCAGCAAGCAGGCCTCTTCAACACTGTTCGCAAGGGGTGCTTTCAAAAGAGGACGCTGATTGTGTGATCCTGTGGCCACGGCTTTGGGGAGTGCTCTACAGGAGCTTGGTAGCAATGATGAATGAAGGCCCCTACCCCAACCCCTTCCCATAGGGCTCTCTTTTGTCCTACATGCTCGACACCTGTAGGCACTTCATTCTCTAGACATTTGAGTGTCTGAAGTTCCAAGCGCAGTCAGAGCTCTCAGGACATCTGAGGCCATTAAGTTGCTCACTTGGATGTACTTAAATTCATTTGAGACTGCCTTTTACCAGCTGACTCCAGCTGGTTTTCTGTAGCACAGAAAGCATGCTTCAAAGGAACAAATACAATTTCATGGACCTACGCAGGAGCTGCCGATGAGTGGGGCAATTTTCTGCTGAGGCCTTCAGAAGGGAAGCCACACACTCGAGTGTGATGAAGCTCATCTCAGATGAGGCGCTGTAGACTGACCTGTTTTCCTTTCTTAGAGAGGCAACATCAGTAGTTGGCCCTGGGGCCTCCCATCAGTTGAGCTGAAAGTTCAGTCCGTCAGTCTTGATTGCTTTAGCACGTGGTGTACTACGCCTAAGTAATGCTGGGGGCAGGTGGGGATAATTTACCTAGGCCAGCAGAAACTTCTTCATTGGTGGGAAGGGGAGGAACCTACTGTTGAAAGTAGGGTGTTCCATTTCTGTCTTTTGTGGATGGCCCATGCTCTACACGGATGGCAAGAAGCTCTGTGGTGTGTTGATTTATGCATGCCAGAGGGATATAGCTAGGTCATATGGTACATTTGTTTTGTTTTTTGTATTTTGAGATAGGGTCTCTGGAACTAGCTTTTGAGATGTAGCTCTGACTGTTTTGGAAGTTACTATGTAGGCTAGCCTGGCCTCGAACTCACAGAAATCCACTGCTTCTGCCTCTCCGGTGCTGGGATTAAAGATGTGAATCACCATGCCCAACTTACTTTTAGTGTTTTTTGTTTGTTTGTTTGTTTGTTTGTTTTTTGTTTCTGTGTTTTTGAGACTGGGTTTCTCAATCTTACCATCAATACAACTTGTCAGTATTTGTTTTTGTCTACCTTCTTGAGGATAGCCGCTTTGGTGGAGTGGCTTTACTTTTCTCTGATGGCTAAAGATATTGAACACTTTTCCAAGTATGTATTGGCTATTTGTATTCTTTTAAAAGCTAAATATTCAGGATTCCTTTTTTTAGTCTATTTATTGATTGGATGATGGGGGGTGTTTAACTTTTGTAGTCCTTTATGTATCCCACATGCTAATCCATTGGCTGATGTACATTTGGCAAAATCTTTTAGATTTTTCCTTCACTTTTGTGATTATTTTTCTTTGCTGCACAAAAGCTTCCTTCCTTCCTTCCTTCCTTCCTTCCTTCCTTCCTTCCTTCCTTCCT